TTCGAGACAGGGTTTCTTTGTGTAGCTTTGCGCCTTTCCTGGAACTCACTCTGTAGCCCAGGCTAGCCTCAAACTCACAAAGATCTGCCTGGCTCTGCCACCCGAGTGCTGGGATTAAAGGTGTGCACCACCACCGCCCAGCTACATTGTTTTTTTGTTTGTTTGTTTGTTTGTTTTTGTTTTTGTTTTTTGGTTTTTCGAGACAGGGTTTCTCTGTGTAGCTTTGCGCCTTTCCTGGAGCTCACTTGGTAGCCCAGGCTGGCCTCGAACTCACAGAGATCCGCCTGGCTCTGCCTCCCGAGTGCTGGGATTAAAGGCGTGCGCCACCACCGCCCGGCCACATTGTCTTTTTTAATGCATTGATCTGTTGCATTTTTCCATTTGAGGGAGACTGTGAACATGCTGAAATAAACACAGGCATGTAGGTGTCTCTTCAGCATGATACTTTCATTCCCTTTGGATATATACCCAGGGGTGGGGCTGGGGATCACATGCTATTTTTTTTTTTTTTTGAGGAGACACCATAGTGTTTTCCACTGATCTGCCTTCACAGCAATGGTGTGCATGATTCCCTTTGTATCACACCCTTGCAAGCCCCTCTTTCCTTTGGTTGTTTTTATGACAGCCATTCCTGCTGGAGGGAGATAATGTGCCTGTTAGGTTTGGATTGGTGTGGCCCTGGTGGTTGGTATTGCAGATCACGTTCCATGTACATGTTGACCATCCCTAGGCCCGCCCTTGAGGAAATGTCTATTTAGTTCTAGTGCCCATTTTTAAAACTAGGTCATTTTTGTTTATGATTGTGTTTTTAGTTCCCTTAGTCCCTTAACAGATTTTCCATCTGCAAACATTCTCCCCCTGTGTACACTGTATCTTCACTCTACCGACTGTTTCCTTTGCTGCGCAGACACTTCTTGGTCTAATGTCATCCATTTACCCATGGCAGCATCTGTTTCCTGTGCTCCTGTCCCAAATGTCCTTGCCTGTTGCAAAATCCTGAATGCATTTCCCCACCTTCTCCTAGTAGCCTCGTGGACTCCAGGCTTCGTCAGGATGTTAATAATCCATCTCTGCTGAGTTTTGTAACTGCTGAGGGTCTCCTGTCTAGTTGCATCCTTCTGCATGGGCCAAGCCAAGGCTGGAAGGACTCCATCTGACAACTCTCCTTTCTTTGGTTGTTTGTCACTGGTGGCCTTGATGTCAGTCTTGCTGATCAGAGCTTAGGTTGGTTTTTATAATATGACCCAGCGTCATGCCACTCCTTCTCCAGCTATAATTAAGAAAACACAGCAACTGTAACCCTCCTTCCATGTGCTCATTGTTTGCTTATATTTGTGCCACTGGAAGTCGAAGGTGGGTGAACTGAAATATTTATACCCTGGTGCCTCCCCTCCCCCAACCCCCCCCCCCCAGATAGCCAGAGGCCAGCTCTACTGCTGGCCGCTGGTGGTGCTCTGAAGGAATTCCAGATGGGTAGCAAACACTCTGGCTCTCAGTGGATTAGATCCCCAAATCCACTCCAAAAATAAACAGATGGCATCTTGCCTCCTACCTTGAGGTTAAGGCCCACATCACTTCAAGCAGACTGTTTACAGATGCGATTCATCCCCTGAGAAGGGCCTCAGCCTGTTCCCTGACCAAGCTGTTTGAGTTCATGTACAGGGCAAAGCCCAGGAGGGGGAGATTCACTGGGTCCCTGTGACCACAGCAATGAAACCGTTTTCCCTGGGCTGTCACCCTGAAGTCCCCACCCTGTCTCCTGTCCAGCAGCTTCCCAATCGCCTGCAGAGCTGGAGGAAAGCACAGGCCTAGGTCACCAAGCAGCAGAGAGAACTTCACGTTGGCACCCCCTGTAACCAGCTGCCACGGCTTGTCATCAACCTCTCTCCCACTTCTTACCAAAGGAAATGTGGTGATGCTCACACCCAAGAAAAAAGAAGTTTCGGGTTAAACTGTAAAACTTTAAACCTTTGTTTTGATTCTGCAAATTCCACAATCCTCTCTAAAGGCTCTTTCTCCACTCTCTAACTCTTCTATCTGTCTGCAAAGAGCTATCCCTTGACTCACAGGAAACCGTCAATATTCAAGCAGCTTTGATATCCAGAATCGTTCACCTATAGCCACCTCTGCATGCTTATCTCCAGGGCATGATGTTGGGAGGGAGGGATCTTAAGTGGTCATTTTTTTCTTTATTTTTTGACAGTTTGATATATATATACAATGTACTCTGATTATGTGCATATCCATTACCCCCTGGCACCCTCCCCCATCTTTTCCTTCTGGGCCCCATCTTCTTCCTTCCTAGTCCTCCAATGACTACCTGTCATATCTGGATGGCACGTTTTGTGACACATTTCCCCATTCCTCAGCTTTTAAATGCCTGCCACCTTCTCTTCTACGATGCTCCCTAGTCCTTAAGGGGCAAGAAGGTGTGGGCACTGACATCCTGTTTGAGGCTGAGAGTACATCAGTCACTTATTCTCAGTACCTTGACCAAATATGAGTCTCTGTATTCATCATTGCCCCATGCCCAAAGGAGCTTCTCTGCTCAGGATGAGAGCAGCAATAATCCTTGGGCATCAGCATGAATATTCAGAAGGCACTTGGACAACAAGTGTATTTAGGAAAATAATGATTGTATGTTCTCACTGATCGTTGTTTTCTACTGTATGTTATTTTATCAACATTTTCCAAGTTTCTTCAACAAGTTTGAATTAGTTTAAAATCATATATATAGACACAGACACAGATACACACACACACACACACACACACACACACACACACACACACACACTATTTCAAGCAGTGCTCATCACTTCAAGGCAGAGCTGTTCCTGATCCTTGCACCTTGCTCTTTGCACCTGTCCTCGTGGCTTTTCTCCCTGATGCTGGGAAAGTTGCCAGTGAACCAGCTCAGTCGATACCCCAGATGAACTGACTGACATTTTTTCTGTTCTCTCATGCATGGTGACTAGCTTTCCGAGCTCTCCAGCTTGGGCCCACACCTTATTCTCTTTCTGATGCAGTCTCTGAACAGATGTTTACTGAGCATCATGTTTTGCCTGGGACTCACTTGGAGATAACAAGTAACTTACAGTAAGCACAATGTTGCTTTTGTCTCTGCCTTTTATTATGGTGTTGGTATTTCCAGGGGTCCATCTACCTCTGCTGTCTTTGATTCTTCTCCCTGGACCCTCCCTTCAGGGCACTGGTTTCGTCCTCTTCCTTTATCTTCATGCTGATGGCTTACAAAGTCTCCACTTCTCTGCACTGTAGCTCTTCCAGAGAGTGTTCCAGACATCTCAAACCCCGGGTGTTCTGAAGGAATTCAGTTATTATCTTCTACTACCATCTTCTGTTGTTCTGCCTCCTTCGTGCCCATATGTGAGTGCTGTGTACATACTGTAACTCATGTACACTGGGTCACCTTTCAATCCCACGACTCAGATGGGTGAGCACTGTAACTCATATACACTAGAGTCACCTTTCAATCCCACGACTCAGATGGGTGAGCGCTGTGTGAATACTGTAACTCATGTACACTGTGTCGCCTTTCAATCTCATGCCTCGGATGGGTCCCTCCAGAGGAGGAGAGATGGGAAAATGACTACAACGAACTTAACTGGAAGGAAGTCTGAGAAAGCTGGAGTGACGTCAGGGAGCATGAGACACAGAAAAAAATGACCCGATAGAATACCACACTCTCTTTATGGGCTCCAGCTATAGACAGCTGGGGTGCAATTCCACCCTGCACTTTCCTAGGAGCAACAAGAAATAAGCCTCCAAATGTTCCCATGTGATGAGCGGCTACAGCCTTTTCACAGACTGTCATCTCCCAGTTGTTTAGGGTTGCGGGGAGTGGAGACTGAGTGGTGCATCCTGCATGACCAGTGTGCATAGGATCCATATGTCACTGCTTCTGTGGGAATCATAGGGCTGGGAGTGGAGACTGAGTCGGGCATCCTGCACCACCAGTGTGCATAGGATCCATATGTCACCACTCCTGTGGGAATCTTAGGTGAAGTAGAGATTTGTTGTAAGGCATGCCCACAAGCATGCTACCCTCCTTTTGTCCCCATATATGTTCTCCACTTGCTAACTGTTCAGCTCCTTCATTGCTACTTAAATTTGTATCTTTGCTGAACATAAGGGTACTTACTGTAATCCCAGTACTGTGGAGGAAGATATCAATTAGGAGGTCAGAGTAGGCTAAATAGCAAGTTCAAGGCCAGCCTAGCCTAGAATACATAACCTGTCCTAAATAGAAGAAATAATAATAAATTGATAAATTAGTCTCTTTCCATCACTTTTTGAGGAAAACTCTCTCTCTCTCCTCTCTCTCTCTCTCTCTCTCTCTCTCTTTCTCTCTCTCTCTCTGGCTGGCCTCCAAATTGACAATAGTTCTGTGGAACCTCTGAGGCACTAGGATTGCAGGAATATATCACTACTCCTAGCTCCTATCATTTCTTAATTCATACACTCCTATTCTGTATGAATGCAGCAACTCCCTGATGACTGTCGAGTACACCTGTCTACAGAAGACTCTGTTCAGATGGACTTGGGGTTTAGATTAGAAGTTTCCCATGATTTCTTGCACATCTAGTACCTGTGCAAACAGAATCTGATGCCCTTACACTTTCTCAAAATTTTCAGGGCGTTCCCAAATCAGGCTTTTAGAACACAAATATTATTTTACTGCTGGCATATTTACTTAGCTAGAAGTAAACTGCTTTTAGTTACTTAGCTCAAGACAATTCAAATATCTTCACTACTGCTGAAAATAATACTGAGGGCTGGAGAGAAGGTTCAGAAGTTAAGAGCACTGGCTGTTCTTCCTGGGGTCCTGAGTTCAATTCCCAGCAACCACATGGTGGCTCATAACCATCTGTAATGAGATCTGGTGCCATCTTCTGGCCTTCAGGGATACATGAAGACAGAACACTGTATATATAATAAATAAATAAATCTTTTTTGAGAGATAGATAGATAGATAGAGAGAGAGAGAGAGAGAGAGAGAGAAATAATACTGAATATTAAGTTAGCAAGATTCCTAGTTTCTAAATTATCTGACTGCTAGAACATGATGCTATTGTCTTTTAATCACTATCCCTGTTATATTCCCAAGAATATAACAGCCAAGGTTGTCCAGGAATGTAGAAATGTGCTCTGTTTTGTATTATTAAAAGGAAATGGAATAAAAAGAGGACTGGAAGCAAAATGCCTCTTGTACTTATTCAATAAGTATTAAATTTGAACTACAAGATAAACAACAAAATATCATGCAAGATACCTGCCTCTTCATATTCAATTCCTAATTCAGGTGTTATATGTTATGTTAGTCAAGATTCTAGGAAGGAACGGAGTTAATATGATGATTATCATACCACAGTGTCAGGGGGTGTGGGGGGAGGAATTAGTAGTAGATTGGCTTATACAATATGTTTTGAGTAGTCTGCCAGTGGATGCCTGCATAGTAGAGAGGCTGAGAACCCAGTACTGCATAGTCCACAAGCTTGGGTTCCTCAGCAGTCCCAATCTGTCACTGAAGGCCCAGAGGATTCCTAGAAAATATCTGGTCCTCATTGGAAGGTCAAAGAAGCTGGGCTCTGATGTCAGCAAAGTATTGTAGCAGCAGTGGCATTGACAGGGTAGATCAGCACACCAGCAAGGACCTAAGGCAGGCTTCCCTCAGATCCCTTGATCTGGGTTGCTGCTGGAGCACACTGCCCACCCTCAGGGAGGGTCTTCCTCCTCAGTTAGAAAGTGGGTCTTTTAGTTGATCCAAGTAAATTGACAATATGTTAACTATCACAGTTGGATACCCAGATAATCACATTCCAAAGCAGCAGTGGTTTGTAACATGGATACTGCTGAATAAGCAAGGAAGACTGTGATGTGTCTGTCTGTGGGCCTTTGAGCTCATGAGGCCTTGTTTCCAGGTCAGGTCTGTTACTCAGCTAACACAAACAAAAACAAGTCCCATAGATCTCTGCACCTCAGTCAGTTCAGTGGCAAATAGAATCAGGAAGGCAATACCGGCTGCTTAAGGTTTCTAAGAATGAAATGAGATGATGCATCTGAGGATGTGCAGTCCATTCCGAAATGCTCTTCTATTTACTCTTTCCTTTTTCATTCACCTCTCCCAAGAAAGCAGAGGCTGGTCTGGTTTGCAAGGTCTCTGCGGCTCAACCTCCTGAAAGATAAGATGGTTCGAACTTAACCTGACTGTGTACCTCTACCCCTCTCTTTTCAGTCTCCCTTTAAGTCAAACTCCCACATCTCTACTAATCTTTACTTTTGGCCTTGGCCACACCTTCTTCCGGGTTGGTGCCCCTCCTCTTCTCCCTAACAAGCTGCTACTACTTACAGTCTCACGATGATCTCTTCTTTTTTTTTTCCACTCATGACTTCAATACCTAACATCAGCACACACAGTGCTACCGATGTCCCTTTACTCCTTAAAGCAATTGGTACTTAAGGAGTGACTGCTTCTAGTCAGCAGACCCTCTGTTTTCACAATGGGGTTATGGCTGCACAGAAATGGTAGCTGAAGACAGCACCATTTGGAAGGGCTGTGGATAGAGCCTGGTGCCCTGAACACCAGTCTAATGTAAGAAAAGTTACCTCAACACTACTAGTCTCTCCTCAATACTCCAAAGCCTCCATTGAAAGAGGGTAACCTGCACTTAAAAAAACAAAACAACTACCAAAGTATCCTTAGCTGTCTAACCCCAGATGGCCAAGCACTAACACAAAGAGATAAATGAGCACGTGAAAAAAACAAGACATTGGGTGTGGACCATTTAAGGGTGGTCTTCCATTCCATTCTGTGGAGGGTCCTTCCAGACCTGGGCAACCTCTTCCGATTTATATCTAGTTAATAATGGATTTATCATAAAAATATGGCCTTACATAGCAAGATAGGCTCATGAGCCCATTTGAGGCTACACCCTCTGGGTTTGGTGAGGAGATTTATAGCCAGAAGATCACACCAACAAGAAAGGAGTGTGAGCAGGGTTGTGAAGTGAGGAACAACAGGTGCCCTGGAGCCTCCAAGGTCAAGTATGAATTTTCAACAACAGATTGGAATACAAATTCTCTCACTTTGACAAAGCTCCCACCCTTGGTATTTGGGTATCCGACTGGATATTTTCACCATGGAACAAGAGCCTGACCTGGCACAGGAAGTAGATCAGGTGAAGGAGGACCCAGCAGAAGCAACAGTGATCACAGCACTAGCTAATGGAATGAACTTGAGAATGACAGCTGACATGCATAAAAGGCATGACAGGTACCAAGTACCACACAGATGACTTCCAGGCACATGTGCAGCCTAGATCCTTCCCAAATCTCCAGTGCCATATTTTAACTCACATCTGGACAAGGAAGGAACCTCTGGGGAATGCAGTCCCAACCCAGCTAACATGGTACCAGGCAAACACAACTCCAACTGAAGTTCCTTTCTAGTGACCACCTGCTGCTGCTCGCTAAGTTGACTTCACCTGACTGTCTTCTCTTCTACAAGACATGCAGGAGAGAAAGAGGAAGAACAGGCTGAAGTGCAGTGAGAGGAGAGGAAGGGGAATCTTGGTGCACAACCTACAGAGTCATAAACAAGAGGAGGGAAATGGCTCTTGACGTCAACAACACAAAGAAGGAACAGGATAATCACAGGTGCACAGGACATCTTAACTAAGAAGTTGCTGTAATGGAGGGTTCAGGGGTTCTAATCACTTGCTACAGCATATCACAATGTCAGTCAAAACCAAAGTTGTGGCAATCATTTCAACCTGTACTTAAGAAAGACTTTCAAAAACATTAAACTGAAAGATAAACACCTTATTTAATATTTTGGATACTTGATCCCCAAGACCACTATTTTCATTATGGATCCCATAGTTCAAGGCTGTCTAGATTATCTGGAAATATAAGTCAGATCCCCAGGAAACCTAGAAGACAGCAAGAGAAAAGCTGGAAATAGTGATGATTGCACTCAGAGTGTGCACACCAACCACGTGGTTCTTATTAGCCTGGTCCAATTACTCCCGGAACATGGGTCATAGCTTATTCACTTATTTCCCTGGCACTGTGACTCTTCTTAAGGGCAAAGAGCCCCACCTATGCCATAGGATTCCAGTCCACTTGGTGCTGCATTTCCCAATCTAAACTAGTAAATTACCACCATTCTGATTTCTACAGCCCATTCACGGCATGGTAGTCTAAAACTTGATACTCAGAGGGTCCACTATTTCCCGATGCCATCAAGATGGAAAATGAGGCATTTGCCTGGAGTTCGGCTACTGTGCTCTCAGCTGTCCCTTTGCCTACCCTTCACAGTTTCTGGACCACATTCCTGGGGCCAGTGTTTAGAAACCACATACCTGAAAGGAGCATCTATGAGGGAGGCTACCATACTAAACAGGACTTGAATTGGGCCTGTATTTGTGAATGAAGAAGACACAAGTAGGCAGAGAGGGCTCACAAGGTTGAGTATCTGTAGAGGAAACAGGAATTCTACTCCTTCAGAATAGACAGCAACCTCTGAGGAGCGAGCAGAAATAATAGAAGGAAAAGTGAAGCCATGATCAGAGGACCTTCATCTCTAGATGAAAGAGTTTAGGTTTGATTCAATCATGGGGTGGAGGTGTAAAGCCTTAGTAGACAGGAGGAGTGACAGGCAGGCAGGTTCTTCACTTTGCAACCTTTTCAAAGTCCACAGAATGCCACAATGCTGAATAGCAAAGCAATCTCGCTGAGACTCATTCAGTATTTATGCTTCTAATTCCATCATGGACTCAAGTTAACAGAGGAACAAAACAGACAGTTAACATTTCTATCTAAGAAGAACTGAAAACTGAATGAGCCATGACTGGACTTTGTTGTAGTTTGTTCACGGGTCATATAGAAAATTAGGAAAAGTAGCAAAGAGTTTTCAATCCCTTATGCCAGGACAAATGTCATGGTGTTATGTAAATTATGTGATTTGAATATGTTCCCCAAAGTTCATGCCGAAACTTAAGCCCCACCCTTGTGCCATGCAGCAAAGCCTAAGTACCTAAGCAATAAGGTCTGGCCTGCATAAGAGGATTAATGCCAGTCATCAGAGGGCTGGTGCTATGAGGTCAATCAAGTCTCACATTCTTGCAGGTTCATGTTCTCTTCCTTCTCCCTTCGGTTACAAGATGACACAGCTTGAAGTCCCTGGCCAGATGCAGGCCTTTACCTTGCTATCCCAGATTCCACTGTGCTAAGAAATACTTCCATATTCTTTATAATTCACTACATCTTAGGTATTCTGTTAGGGAAGCCCCAAAGGGACTGAGTCCTTAGGCACTGAACCTTTCCAAATTTGTTTCTTCATCAGCAAAATAGAAACACATTATCATAGCACTCTTATGAAGATCTAATGAGAAGACAGACACAACATGTAGCAGGAAGACTGATGACTAGTGCAATCCAATAAATGCCATCTGGGACCAAATATGGATGTTCTGCTAACAGAATACTACGGATTTCATACCTGGATTTTGCAAAGTTCTAAGGAGGAATCCTAGGAATTATAAGGTCACATTCGTGACTGAAATATATATTACATCTTATAAATAAAATCACAGACATTAAAGAACATCTGAGTATCCTAGTCACTACTCCAGAAGTTATCATTTTATGACCCATTTAGCTGCCTAAAGAGCAGTAGAGCAGTGTGATTTTGCCACCATCTGAGCAGGGTGTGTCCACAATGACAACTCGGTGCAAAGCCCATCCTAAGGGAACAGGTTTGTTGTCTTCAGATTCCCATGGAAATTATCTGTGATTGGCTTTTTTGGATGGTGGACTTTGTAATGTCAGGATAAGATGATGGAACACACAAGTAATTTGAATGTACTAATCACCCCCAGGCAAATTAAAATCCCAAAGCCTATGAGAAAATTCCATTCTACAGTTACTAGTCAGCATGCTTTGGCTTCAGCAAAGAGCCCCTAGCTTCGTTTGTTTGTTCATTTGGTTGGTTTGTTGGTTTGTTGGTTTGTTGATTGGCTAGCTGGCTGGCTGGTTGGTTGGTTGGTCAGCTGGTTGATTGGTTGGTCAACTGGCTAGTTGGGTATTTTTTCTGCAAACATTTGCTAAAGTGCCAATAATACTAGGCAGCCTCCTCTCCAAAGGGCCAGGCAATTTTCAGGAAAGGGGAAAACACATGACAAAATCCAAGAGATGTGTCACCAGAGGCAACCTAAAGAGAAGCAAGGCACTGGCAACCTTGTGTAAGAGATCCCTAGGGCCTGCCGCTGTTTTATTAGATGTGAATACTAGGACAGCTCTAGAAAGAGCAGTGGATGGGGTACAATCTCCCAGAACATCACCTGGAGGAGCTTTTGGCATGTTCACAATGACCACACAGAGTCTATCACTCTGGGGACATACCTCCAACTTGCTTTTTATCATGTGAGCTCAAAGGGCAGTTAATTTCTGATGGGTGTGTTTTGAAGTTGGATTTATTAGAGGAATGAGTTTCAAGTGTGTATCTATGGAGGCTGGTTCTCCACATGGGGTTTTGCAGAATGAGAGGTTAGTGTGGCTGCACAAGGCCCAGCAAATATTAAGTCTGTTTCTCCCATACACTTTTACTCTACCTGCGTCTTTCTTCTGTTTTAATTGCTAAAATATGAAAACTATAAATTTCCAAAACTATCCAAAAATTACTACTTGTAGATACAAGTAATAAGTATTTCCACAAATTAATTCTGTAATAATGAGCAATACCATGATTTTTGTCTTTGAAATGCCAATAATATACACAGCATCATTCATTTTCTTTGTTTCAAAAAGATATAACTTCCAGATTTTTGCTCCAGGGACTCTGGACTTCCTTCTTTATCATTGGGTTCTCTAGTCTGTGGATGCCCATCCAGAAGCCTTTGCCCACTGCCCTTCTCTGGCTCCTTACCAGAATGCTAACTTCATTCTCCAGTTCAATTCATTAGCTCTGTTCTCTAGAAGGGTCCCATCGACAAACAAGCTTGATTAATGCTGTATCTATTACACTCCTCAGAAATTAGCTGCTCTCTGAGCCTTACATGATGAAGAGCAGGTCAGAGCAAAGTACAGTCCCCAGAGTGGTAATGATGTTCTGAGTTGTCACTGTGAACACATCAAGAATTCTGGATGACTTTCTGAGAAGTTGTACCTCATGCG